GGCGTTCTTCCACGCGCGACCAAAAAGTGGAGCCAAATGCTTCTAACCAGGGGGGGGGTGCTCCTGAGAAGCCCTCCCCCCTTCCCTCTGCCCCCCACTGCGCGTGGCTGAGCGACGGAGGAGGGGTCGGCAGAAGAAATAAAAGGCTGGCTGTTGCTGCTCGGCGGTGCAGGGACACAACCGAGTAGATCTCGTGAGGGACAAGGGGAGCCGCCATCGGGAAATTGTCGCGCGCCATCTCCACCATCCCAAGGCCAGGGTCCTAGGTTCAAACTCCGCGCACTCCGCGCAGCGCTTGAACCAACCCATCCATGGATTACTCAATCTGCCTACCCCATCCATTTACATCCTTCAACTTTACGCACAACGACGGCAGGCATCCCGCACCATAGCGCCGCGACTCTCCCGACTTGAGCACGCTGTGCTGTCCTCGTGGCAAAGTGCTTTTCGCCTTGGCATCGGCACTTGCCGTCCCTCATTCGCGCGGTCACGTAATTTCTCACATGTGCCCGAACATGAGAATCTGTGCACGAATTTCTCACATATGCCCTTCGGGCGAATGAGGTTGGTGGGGGGAGAAATAACCAACTGACGACAACTGCGATGGCGGTGATGATGACGATGCTGGTGATGCGCCCTCGAGTTGGCGATGACGCGTGGTGACGATGCTGCGTCGCGATGCGGTTCCACGATCGATCCCACTCGATCGATCTCACCATTAAGACACCACCAGGGCACCATGAGGCCAATTAATGTCACCTCCAATGTGCTGTGATGGTTGGTGCTAAGTGTGATGGCTGGCTGCTGATGGCAAGGTGATGGCCGAAGCGGTGATGAGTGTGGCGGCGACAGTAATGGCGGTAATGCTGAGCACGATCGGAACACCATCGGAACACTATCGGGCCAAATAACAGCCACCACCTCTGCGCTGAGATGGCAATGTGACGATGCGGCGTCACAATCGATCCCGTGGACGGTGATGCTGACATTGAGAAGCGTTTGACGCAGCGATTCCCCCCAAGTCTCACGATGGACACCACCAGGACACACTCGAGACGACATCGCAACACCTCCAGGACACCGTCAGGGCACCCATCGGGATTCCAATCGAGACACACCATCGGAGCACCACTCGAGGCACCTATCGGGTAACCACCAGGACACCACCGAGACATCATCGAAACACCACCAACACCATCAGGACACCAATTGCGACACAGATCGGGGCACCAATCGGGGCACCAATCATGACACCATCAATGTTAGCATCGGTCTCAACTTGATGTGATCGATATTAATATCGATATTACTATCAACCTCACTACCAGTCTCATTATCGACCTCACACTCGGTCTCACTATCGACCTCACCATCGATCTCACCACGGGACACCATGATACCAACGGGACGCCGACGGGACATCCGCGGGACACCGACGGGACACCACGGGACACCATCGGGACACGATCGGGACATCGGGACACCAAGCGATGTCAATTTCGATCTCACTATCGATCTCACCATCGGTCTGACTATCGATCTTTCTCGCTCGATTTCACTTGCTCGATCTTGTTGTCAGCCTCACTATCGATCTCACAATCGATCTCACCACGGGACACCGACGTGACACCGCCGGGACACCAACGGGACACCGACGGGACACCGACGAGACACAAACGGGATACGGGCGGGCAACGACTGGACAACGACGGGACAGCGACGAGACAACCACAGGACACCGACGGGACACCGACGCGACACCAACGGGCCACTAACGGGACACCACGGCGAACAACACAGCCACCGTCAGCCCCTCGGGGAGGGAGGAGGGGCGGTCAACCCCTCTTGACCCGCCCTGGCCACAGTGGAGTCATTCCTCTCGCCCGCCCACGCAGCTTCGCCTCGCCCGCACGCACGATACGAACCCGAAACCGAAACCGCTTTCCCGAAGGGGGCTCTCCGTTCCACTTCGATCCCCAACCTCCGACTACTCAAATGTCGTATGGAAGCCACTCGTATCTCAATACCGGTCACGAATTCGGTCGCACAACGTTTTCGGTTACACCACTCAGGCCATGTGCGATCGTATACACTCATCGGGCGCGGGGGATTTCGGCTGATACGGGAAGGGGGGAATGACACTTCTCCAATATTCGGCCAGGTCTGACGGCTGCCATGGGGACACAGGCTTTCTATCTCAAGCGGGTGCATGGCTTAGCTTACTTGATTGGAGGGCATTTGGAAGCACATCTTTGCGACTCGATATTCCTCGACGGACCTGGGACCCTTCATCTTGGACGCCTCTTTTCTGAGAGTGCAGAACTTGGACGTGCTGCTATGCATGACCCTCTGGGCTGCATCTCTCAGAACTTCCCTGGCGCTGGTGGCCAAGGACGGTGGGGTGGATCGGCACCGCGAACCCGATGGGGGCCCTGCTGCAGAGGCCCAATCGCGAGGTCGCATGATGGCGCGGCGGCGCGTGAGCAGCGATGGCAGAACGCGGCGCAACAGCTTCCTCGTCCGGGAACGTCGATGTGTTTTTTGATTTCTTCTGGGGAGGAAGATGTTCTGTCGGGGATGGACAGACCCCCCTTTAGTGAAACGTGGTTTGGTGAGAACGACCTGAGGCCCAAACCTGGCGGGCGCAAGCCTGGAACATAGCGGCCATGGCGCCATCTCGAGAACCGAAAACGGACAATTCACTAATCGACGTGTCACTGCTGGGGGTTCTGTCCACCCCCGATTCTGAGGGGCTGCTGCGCCCCCTCCTTCGGGGACTCGCAGGTCTGGTGCCTCGTGCCAGCCTTGCGTGGCTGCACGCCGGTCGGAAGCAGCAGGCAGCAGCATGCAGCAGGAAGGCTGGACAAAGCGGATGGGGTCCGGGCCCGCCCAGAGAACCACAGACGCCAGCCAAGCCACATCGATTCTTGAAGTAGGAGGGCGCTGGACGTGGACTGGGCTCTGGGGATCCAGAACTGCCTCTGGCCATCGCTCGGACGTCCATTCCCTGTGTTTTTTTTTCTGGTCACGTGCGTGGATGTTTTGCCAAATGCTCAAGGATGCTCCTCGATGGTCCCCGCCGATGGAAAAATGCACACGTCCGAGCGATGCCAAGCCCTGCTTCCAGCGACCGGCGCGCATCCCGTGCCCCGCGGGCGTCGGCGCCTCGCCGCCGCTCAGACGGCCATGCCCCGTGCACTCGTCGTCGGCGGCTCCGCGCGTGCTGCCCTTGGCTCGACGGCCCAGGACACCTGCCTGGCCCAGCGGCTCGTGCCTCGCAGCCTCCCCATCTCTTGCCGTCGCTCGGACGACCAGCTCCCGCGCACTGTTCGCTTCCGTGCGTGTGTTTTTTTGGGGCTGGATGTCCAGGATGGTCCTCGATGCTTCCAGATAGGCTTATACACATCGCTGTCAGGTTGCTTTGCCGGGAAAATTTGCCGGATGTCCAGGATGATCCTCGATGGTTCTCGCCGAACAAAAAAAATGCACACGTCCGAGCGATGCCAGGCCATGGCATCCAGCGTCGCGAAGAACATGCCGCACTGTGAGGAACCACGACCGGGACCCTGGACCCCATCGTCTGCTGGATCGCTCTGCGGGGGCCCCAGGCCCCGAACCCGAACGAAGACGCCCAGCGCGAACAAAAATGCAGAGCCACGATCTCGTGGTGGCCCCTGCCCTTCGCAGCAGAGTGCACTGCTTTTGGCATGCCAGCCCGCATCTGGGGGGCGAGGTCGCCCTCGTTCGCACCAACAGGGCCTGACTGGAGTCAGAACTCCTATTTATACCAGTACCGCCGATCCAGACTTCGCTCAGGGTGCGATCTGGCTGACCAGGATTCTAGCCTGGATCCAGCCAAGGGGACGAGGGAGAGGTCCAAGCGGGAGAGCACGAGACAAGGTAGCGCTATTGGTATACATATGCAAATACCTGGTGATGGAGGGAACTACGCCTCGGAAAATATCCCCCGCCAACCTTCCAGCCAACCCCGAACAACCAGCCAGCCATCCCTGGCCAACCTACCTCCTGCCAGCCACCTGGTTTGACTTGAGTAACCCTTCCCATGAAGACTGTGACTGTGAACATCTTGTGTCTTCTCTGGTGCCTCCACTGGTGGCTGGACTCCACAAAATTGCACGTCCGATGCGTAGGAACCACTCGTGGCTTCCTTCGAGCGATGTCTATCCAAGAACGCTCGGCAGGATACCCAGGGAGCACCAACATATTATTTGCGGCCGCTACATGCAGTCGACAATCGTCGAAGGTACACCACAGGAACACTGCCACGCTCGCGGCCTGGCAGCCGCGGTATGGAGGGCTTCCAGGTGGGTCGGGAGCTCATTTCTCGTCCTAAACATGCGAATGGGGAAACTATTGGACCCCCCCAAGTCCGCGAGACCAGCTGCGTGATACGAACATTCGCGCAATGCATACTCTCGAAACGAACCTGGGTTCAAGTACGTGTACGTCCTTCTTTCGCTCCTGACCCCCCCGGCCAGCCCGTTGCCTTCTCCCCCTCCGAGCCGCCCCTGCCCAGCGCGGCGGCTCTGGAAGATCTCTCGTCCTGGCCCCATCACACTCCGCCTCGATGATGATGATGATGATGATGATGATGATGATGATGATGATGATGATGATGATGGTGATGATGCTGATGATGACGATGATGATGATGATAATGATGATGATGATGCGTATGCTGATGCTGATGTAGATGCTGATGATGCCGTTGTAGATGATGATGGCGATGATGAGGATGCTGATGATGATGATGATGATGATGATGATGATGATGATGATTATGCTCATGTTGTTGCTGATGAAGATGGTGATGATGCGATGATGCTGATGCTGATGATGCTGATGATGCTGACGACGACGATGATGCTGATGATGCTGATGATGCTGATGATGATGATGCTGATGATGTCTCCTACCCCCCCCTCTACGAGCGCCACTGGCGCTCCCCCGCCCCCTCTCCCGGCGCGGGGGGCCCGCGCCTCCGGGCGAGGCCCGCGGACGCCAGCAGCAACGCCAGCGCCCCCCCCGCCGCCAGCGCCCGCAGCAAGGCCCGCCGGGCGGGGGCCGGGCACGCCTGCGGCCCGCGCGCTCCGCGGGGACGCACAGCCGCGCCGAGACGGGTCTTTAGATGACACCCCCAAGCGGGGGTAGCTCACCATTGCCAACCCGTCCCGTGGTCTTGGGCCCTCGTTTTGAAGACAGCGCCCGCGTCTCCCTCCTCTCCTCTCCCCTCCCCTCCCCTCCTCTCCTCTCCTCTCCTCCCCTCCCCTCCCTCCTCCATCCTCCTCTTCACTCCTCCCTCCTCCCTCCTCATCCTGCTCCTTGCACATTTCGTGGCCCCTTAGGGAGCTCCGCCGAAAGCCCCAGTGGCGGTATTCGCACGCGTTTCCCCCACCCACTGCGGCGCTTCGTGGCCCCGTAAGGAGCTCCACCGAAGGCCCCAGATGCGGTGCTCGCATGCGTCTCCACCACCCAGTACAGCGTTGTGTTGCCCCATAATTAAGGAGCTCCACCGACGGCCCCAGTGGCGGTGTCCGCATGCGGTTCCCCCACCTAGTAGAGCACTTCGTGGCCCCAGAGGCAGCTCCACCGAATGTCCCAGTGGCGCAGTTCGCATGCTGTTCCCCCTCCCAGTACAACGCGTCGTGACCCCATAGGGAGCTCCACCGAAGGCCCCAGCTCTTGTTTGCACGCGTTCCCCCATCCACTGCGGCGTTTCGTGGCCCCACAATGGGCTCCACCGACGGCCCCAGTGGCGGTGTCCGCATGCGGTTCCCCCACCCAGTACAGCGCGTCGTGGCTCCATAGGGAGCTCCACCGAAGGTCCCAGTGGCGGTGTTCGCACGTGGTTCCCCCACCCAGTACAATATTTCGTGGCCCCATAAGGAACTCCACCGAAAGCCCCAGCGGCGGTGTCCGCATCCAGTGGGGGTGTTCGCATGCGTCTCCCCGACCCAGTACAGCGCCTCGTTGCCCCATAGGGAGCTCCACCGAAGGCCCAGGTGGCGGTGTCCGCATGCGCCTCCCCCATTCAGTACAATGTTCGTGGCTCCATAGGGAAACTCCACCGAAGGCCGCAGTGGCAACGTTCGCACTGTTTCGGCACGCCCCTCAGACGTTTCGTGGCCCCATATGGAGCATCACCGAATGCCCCAATGGCTGCGCCCGCATGCGTCCCCGCCCCATTTCGGGACACCCTTTACACGCTCCGTGGCCCCATAAAGAGATCCACCGAAGGCGATACCCACAACGGCGATACTCTAAACTGCATATGGTTGGGCCCTTCGCCGGGATAATTGTTCGCCTTGGAGGACTGGGGTCCCACCAATAGCGGATTCCCCGTCCGACATGCGAAGAAATGAGCAACACGTTCGGAGATCTGCGCACGCTCTGCGTAGCTTCCACAGATCCGAAGAGCATTTCAATTTGGGTGTAAAGAGACTCTGTGGTCGACCCCCTGCTCGGAAGTAGGGAATTCGAGGAGGAGAGGAGGAGGAGCCTCGGGGATCGAGGAGGGTCGAAGAGGAAGAGGAGGAGGAGGAGGAGGAGGGAGTATGAACGAAGAGGAGGGAGTAGGGTCGACGAGAAGGAGGAGGAAATAGGGAGTTCGAGGAGGAGGGTCGAAGAGGAGCATCGGGGATCGAGGGAGCTCGGGGGCCGAGGGGGGTCGAGGAGGCGGAGCCTCGGGAATCGGGGCGGAAGGTCGGAGATCAGGGAGGACCGAAGAGGAGGAGGAGGAGGAGGAGGAAGGAGGAGGAAGGAGGAGGAGGGCGATCGTGTGGGGCGGTAGGAGGACCGAGGGAGGTCCAGGAGGAGATGGGAGGCAGGACTTGGTAGGATCTTCCATGCTGAACATGGGTCGAAGAGGTTGCGCCCCTCCCTCCTTGTCTCCCGTCCCTCCTCCTCCTGTCCCTCCTCCTCCTCCTTCTCCTCGTCCTCCTCCTCTTCCTCCCCCTGATCTGCTCTCCGCTTGCTCTTTCACCTCTCTGTCCCCTCTCGTCTGCCGGCCCGCCTGCTTCGCCCCGCTTGCGTTGGCCTCCCGCCTGCGCGGTCGCCGTCGTCTGCCCTCTCCTCGTTCCCTTTCTCCCTCTCCGTCGCCACGCAGCACATGGGACGCCCAAGCTCATACGTGTCCTCCTTGGAGGCGTGCGTCCGACCCGGACATGTAGAACAATCATATGATGGTAGATCGTTTCCCGAGGGGCACGGCCAAAAAGGGCCCGCCGCAGAGCATAAACCAGAAGATTTCTCGGCGCGCGCGTCGCCCCTTTGGGGGCGACGCGCAGATAGTGTTTCGGTGTTGAGGTGTTGCCAAGCAGTCTGCCGGGAGCCGGTGCTGCGGGGGCGCCGTTGGACCGATGCGGAGGATTGAGGGTCGTGGAAGATCGGGGAGGAGGGGGACGGACGCAGAGGAGGGAGGACCAGGGGGTCGAGGAGGAGGAAGGAGGCAGAACCTGGTGGCCAGGAAGGTCCACTCACGTGGAAGCAGCAGCACCCGCCGCCCCAGGCGCAGGATTTTAGTCAGCATCGGATCGACAGACTGGACGGGATCGGAGTGTGCGTCGGATCGGGCCACATCGTCACGAAGCCGAGATCGAACCGAAGCGGCCGCATCAAGATGCATCATCACGCCATGCAAACGCGGGGACTCACCGAATCGTCGGGCGATCGGGATCGATGATGGCACCGAACCGGGCTTGCCAAAATCAATATCGAGGCAATCGAGCGGATACGGGCCTGGTGAGCGTCTGGGCATGACCCCACGTCCCCAGTGGAGGGCCACTTGAGACAACGCATCCCGCCCGCTCCAGATCCTTCGGAATCCGTCCCCGGGCTCCTCCCAGAGGGGCGCCTCTTGGTCGGGGGCGCGCAAGCATGGATTAGCAGCCATCCATGGATTTGGCGCGCGGCCGCCAAATCCATGGATCGGGGGAAGTGCCCACCCCAATATTCGGCCGGTGACGCCTCGTCCGGCAGCGGAAATCCACGACGTCTCATGGAAACGGGACCCGTCGCTAATCCACGCCCCCTTGATCCATGTCTGCGCTCGCCTGAATGAAGTAGGAGGCCGTTGAGAATAGATTGGGCTTCCGCTCGCCCCCTGGGGACGAGGGAAGAGGGCAAAAGGTTAGGATTTGGGCATCCACAGATACCTACTTCCAACGACCAGCGTGCAAGGCCTTCGCAATCGGGCACCCGGGCCACTCCTGGGTTCCGTTTGCTCCCATCGTGCTTAAAGGCCACATCCCAGAAATGCTTTCGAGCACCAGGAAAACTGTCGAAAGAGTGTCGAAACAGTGTCGGACGAGCGTCTCCCAGGGCCCGACACGTGAAAACCCCAGAGTTTCGGTACTTTGTTGGTGCTCGAAATTCTTTCGGGGATGGACAGATCTCCCTTTAGTAAAACATGGTCAGTGAAAACGACCTGAGGCCCCAACCTGGCGGGCGCAAGCCTGGAAAATAACGGCCACGGCGCCCTCTCGAGAACCGAAAACGGACAATTCACTAATCGACGTGTCACTGTTGGGGGTTCTGTCCACCCCCTATTCTTTCTGGTGACCAAGGCTTAAATAGGTTGCAACATCAGAGTCCTGGGCCCCATCCGGGCCCGCTTTCCGAGGCGGACCAGGCCTTGCGCGGCGCGACGCCTCCAGGGAGGGCCAGCGTTGTCTCGACTCCTCCCCCTCCCCCTCCCCCTCCCCCTCCTCCTCCCCTCGCCCCTCCCCTTCCCCCCCCCCCTCCCCCTCCCCCGTCCCCTCCTCCCCCCCTTCCCCTCCCCCCCCGCCCCCCCTCCCCCTCGGCACTCCTCCGATCTCCTGCGTTTCGACTCCGCTCGGTGGCCCTGGATGAAGAAACAAATGAACATAAACGTTCGGAGGTTCGCGAAGTTCTTGGATCGGCGCTGGCAGGAAATCAGAACGGACCTCCGACAGCTTCTGCTTGTGCAAATTCGCGTATCCCCCGGCATCCTGTGTGCCGACTCCGCCGAGAGGGGCTGCCCTCTGCGTACCCCGGGGGGGGGGGCCCCACTCGGGGAGGCACGATAGGAGGCGTGCATCGACCGGGGTGCGTCCGAATAACCCCCTGGCAGGGTATATAGCCCCGAGACGCCTTCCGTTTCTTCACAGCCTGACTCTCCGGGGCGAGAAACCACCGGCGACGTGAAGTGGGTGCCCGCCCCCCGACGTCGCGACGTGCTCGCAAGGTCGACCTGCAGCGGCCTATTCTTCTGCCGACTCGTTCGATAGGTCGGGCATGTCCCCCTACAGACGGATTTTGGACGAACCATAAAAGATTGTCGCTTTTGGAGAACCGAAGACTCACAAAACTAGTCGACAGATCGTCTCCAGACTCATTTGTGACTATGTTTGGAGTTTCCTCCTGTAAAGGGACACGCCCGACTTCATTCTGTGACGACCCCAGGGGGCCCTGGAAGGGCCCCCCGGGGCCAGACACTGGCAGAGCACCTCCCGCCTTGGTCGCCTTTTTCGCCTCCCCGCCCCGCGGGAAGGCCACCTCCCGCGGCGCTGCTGTCGCCTTCGCCGAGTCCCCCCCTGGGGGAAGGCAAGCCTTCGTGCGTCCAGGGGTGGGGGCGCGAGGGCGGGGCCGGCTGGCCGGGTGCCTCCCACAGACGCCCCAGTGGCACCTCAGAGCGTCCGAGACCCTCGACTCGGCGGCGCGCCCGGGGAGTGGGGCAGAGAGAAGGAGAATGCCTTGTTCGAAGGCTCGGAAGCCCCGCGGCCTGCTGAGAGGTTTTCGAAGCCTCCCCCGAAGACGCAGACAAACTCCCAGAAGGCGCGAGGGCTCCTGAGAAGGCCCGCCGCCTTCTGAGAAGGCCTTCTCCTCCTCACTTCCCCCCTCGCTCGCCGCCGACCAACGCCTCCTCCTCCCCGATCCTCGATTGCCAAGGCCGCAACGATCGAAGTGGGTATACGGGAAGGGTGGGGAGAGAGACAGACTGTACAGTCGGGGCCTTGACCTAAGGAACCCAAAATAAGGAATGAGGCCCCTTTTTTCCATAAGTTGAACTTCGATTTCGCATCGAAAACCTTAGGAAAACCTGAGGCAAGCTGCGAAAAACTTAAGGAACGCGGAGCCCCTCCCCAACGAAAAGGGTTCCTTCTTCAAGGCCCCGACTGTAGTTCCTGCCCCTGTTTGGAGCAAGGCCCGCGCTGTCGGTGCTGCCGCTGGCCGTGCCCACTGGAGACAAAACCAGCAGCTGCCGCTGCCGGTGTTGGACAACACTGGCTCTTGGGCATCGTGCCCATGCCTTCCATACTCGGCGGCGAGCGCCACCCAGTACAGCGTTTCGTGGCCCCATCGGAAGCTGCACCGAAGGCCGCAGTGGCACCGTCCGCATGCTTCACCCCGACCCAGCACAGAGATTCGTGGCCCCATAGGGAGCTCCACCAAAGGCTCCAGTGGCACCGCCCGCATGCGTCACCCATCCAGTACAGCGTTTCGTGGCCCCACAAGGAGCTCCACCGAAGGCCCCAGTGGTACCGCCCGCAGGAATCATCACCGGTGGCACCACCCGCATGCGTCGCGCACACCCAGTACAGCGCTTCGTGGCCTCATGGGAAGCTCCACCGAAGGCCCCAGTGGCACCGCCCGCATGCGTCACCCCCACCCAGTACGGCGCCTCGTGGCCCAAGAAGGAGCTCCACTGAGGACTCCAGAGCTTCGTGGCCCCATAGGGAGCTCCACCGAATGCCCCAGTGGCACCGCCTGCATGCGCCACCCCAACCAAGTACAGCGCTTCGTGGCCCCATAAAGAGCTCCACCGAAGGCCCCAGTGGCACCGCCCGCATGCGCCACCCCGACCCAGAACAGCGCTTCGTGGCCCCATGGAGGGTTCCACCCAATGCCCCAGTGGCAACACCCGCATGCGTCGCGCACACCCAGTACAGCGCTTCGTGGCCCCATAAGGAGCTCTACCGAAGGCCCCAGCGGCACCGCCCGCATGCGCCACCCCCACCCAGTACAGCGCTTCGTGGCCCCATAGGGAGCTCCACCGAAGTCCTCAGTGGCTGCACTCGCATGCGGTTCTCTGTCACACCCAGTACTATGTATCATGGCCCATAGGGAGCTCCACCGAAGGTTCCAGTGACAATGTTTGCTGTGTTTCCCAAACCCAGTACAGCGCTTCATGGCCCCATAGGGAGCTCCACCGAAGGCCCCACTTGCTGTGCTCGCATGCCTTCCCCCCACCCAGCACAGCGCTTCGCGGTCCCATGGTGAGCTCCACCGACGGCCCCAGTGGCTGTAGTCGCACGCGTTTCCCCACCCAGTACAGCGCCTCGTTGCCCCATAGGGAGCTTGACCGAAGGCGCAAGTGGCGGCCCCGCCACATTGCGGCGCACCCCTCATACTCTTCGTGGCCCCGTAGTGCGTTCCGCCTTAAGCACCAGTGGTAGCGCCCACATGGCGTCCCCGCCGCACATCGGCATTCCCTTCGCATGCTTCATGACCCCATGAGGAGATCCATCGAAGGCGATACCCACAACGAAGGTACTCACACCTGCATATGGTTGGGTCCATTGCCAAGATAATTGTTCTGTGTCTCGGAGAAGGCTTAGAAAACCCCTCAGAAGGCCGGGGGACTTCCGACCCTTCTGAGAAGGCATTCTCCTTCTCACTTCCCACCCTTGGTAGCCGCCGACGTACAGCAAAGTCGTGCCGTGCTTGCTTCGGCGTTGGTTTCTGACACCGTGGTGATCTTCCAACCTTGAACGATCGGCCGTTTCCAAAACGTCGGGTCGTTCAACATCGACCGATTTGGGGTCGCTGGCGGCGTTCAACGTTGAATGCTGGAGCGGGGCCCCCGCTGGTCGACACGACTCGAAGCTACCGTGCTCATTTCGGGCGTCCAAACAAACGGTGGAGACTGGAGGCGGCTGGGGGGCCTGAATTGATTGGGACCCCAGGAGTCTGCCGGGAGTGAGGAATGAGGCCAAATCTGTTCAACATCGGTTCCAGCACCCCTCCTGGGGTTCATCTGGAGCATGTTTTCACCCAGAGCCAGCTTTCACGGTCCAGGGGCCCGAAAATGGACCCCTCGAGGCCGAAAAAGGTACCCCCCCAAAAAAAACGACCCGAACCCAGAGCCTCGAATTTGCCCCCCTCATTGCTGGCCTGAACCAAGGCTGGGCCACCTCGGAACCCCCGCAAGCTCCAAGCGATGCGACCAATAACTGTACCCATCCAAGCACAAGGTGGGACCCTCCGCGCTGCCCGACTTCGTGCCGACTCCGCCCCAAGAGGTGACAGGGGATCTGTCGACCCCTTATCCCAGGCGCCGACGGGCTGTCTTCGAATGGACCAGAAACTGGGGGGCGGTGGACAAACCTCCCTTTAGTAAACCTCCCCTTAATGAAAACGGCCTGGGACCGAAACTGACGGACCTGGAACCGCAAAAATGACGGCCGCGACGCCCTCTCGCGAACCGAAAACGGCCAATTCACTAGTCGACGTGTCAAGGTAGGAGATCTTTCCAACCCCGACACCCGGGGATGCGGGACCGGGGGGGGCGTCCATCCTCGATGCAGGTGCGTCCCGGCCAATTCACTAATCGACGTGTCAAGGTAGGAGATCTTTCCACCCCCGACACCCGGGGATGCGGGACCCGGGGGGCGTCCATCCTCGACGCGGGTGCGTCCGGCTATAGCCCCCGCCGGGGTGCAGCCCGGGGTGTCCCCTGTTTTTGGGGGCCCTGAGGGGCCAGACTTCTCCGATGGGGGAGCTCGAAGGACCGGGGGCCGCGCGCGCGCTCCCGCGCGCCGAGGGCTGAGCCGGGCGTGTCCCCCATACAGGGGGATGTTCGACGAAAAATAAAACATACCCCCAAACAATGCTCCAAAGATCCCGAAAAAATATGCCAAAGAATGCCCCCAGACTATCTTTTGACTATTTTTGAAGATTCCCCCTGCAGAGGGACTTTCAAAATACCCCACAAATGCTCCAAAGATGCCCAAACATAGTCAAAAAAAATACTCCCCCGACTATGTGTTGCGTATTGTCGAATATTCCCCCTGTGTAGAGGGAGAGGGACGGGCCAGACTCAAGCCGAGCGGGGGCCGCGCCTGCGGCGCCGCGGAGCGCAGCCGCCTCGCCGCCGTTCCTGCGGGGCGGGGGCCGGCCGCGCGGGCGCGCGCGCGCGCCGAGCTGCTCAGCAGGGCGCGAATTCGGCCGCCCGCGCGCCCCCTTTTCGCTCGCGCGCCGAGCGCCGCGGCAGCTGCTGTGCCGACCCCTGTTCCAGGCTCCGTGGGGCTCTCGAGGGGACCAGGGTTTTTTGTTTTCTTTTCAGCCCCTGAAGGTTTCAGCGCCACTGGTGAGGCGGCCCAGAGGTGAGGGTTGGTGTGGTGGAGGAATGCGTCGACGCCACCACCTGAACTCCAGAGAGGCACCACCCCATAATGGACCAGGGATTTGCGTCCCGACCCTGGGATGTCAGGAGGCAACCACTGGAGAGGTCTTCGTCGGAAGGACCAAGGGGGATGAATCCCCATCATCGGGGGGCTTGTGTACGCCAAAAAGGGGCCTCGGATCAAGCGGGATTGAGCCGGATTCAGCGGGATCCAGCGGGATTGAGCCAGATTAAGCGGGATTAAGCGGGATTAAGACGGATTCCGGACCAGGGCGAACTCAGAATCCGGCCTCCCAGGAGTTACCTCCGAAGGGATGCGCACGAGGGGGGGGGGGGGGCGCCCCTCCTCGACGGTGGAGCGCCCGATTGCCCCCCCCCTCGGGGGGTGCCTCCCGGAGCCTCGATCCCCCCTGTTCCGGAGCGGCCAGGCTTCTCGGGCGGAGCCCGGGCACCGGGGGGAGACGCAGCAGGGACGCCCGCGGTCGCTTCCCCCCCCCCCCTGCGAGGCGGGGACTTCTCCATACCCACCGCCTGGAAGCCGACGTCCTGGTGCCCCAGCGGGCGGTGGATATGGATACATGTCGGCCCCCGGGGGGGCCCGAAGATGTCCACACCCTCCGCCCGCCGAGGCGCCGAGCACGGCCCCTCCAGGCGGTGGATCTGGATCAATTCCCGCCTCGGGCCATCAATCGGGCGTCCCTTCCCCGTGCTTTTCTCGGTCTCGTGCGTGGCTTTCTTGCCACATGAGCAAGGATGCTCCTCGATGCTCCTCGCCGAAGGAAAAAGGCACACGGCCGAGCGATGCCAAGGCCTCGGTCCCCCGCAGAGCGCCGCCTCCCTCCGCGGACGGGGGGGGCGGCGCCGCCACAGCAACAGGCCGTCGGAGGCCCGCGCCGACGCCTCGGGTCGGCGCTGGGCCCTCCTGCGGGAGAGGGGGCCCGCTGCCCATCCGAGAGGTCCGCGCGGGCCTCCGAGCACGCTCGTGTTCCTGACGTTGGTTAGGCTGTTGTTGTTGTTGTTGTTGTTGTTGTTGTTGTTGTTGTTGTTGTTGTTGTTGTTGAACATTATTACTTCTAAAGAATAATTATTGTTGGGACCCCTGGTGCGCGGCCCCCTCGCCGCGCCTAGGCCGCAGCCATGTTTTCATCACTTTCGTGAGGAAGTCTCTGGCAAAACGGGTTGGTCCGGATCCGGTTGTTTTGTTACGGGCGGTTTTCCCTTGCAAAAAATTAGGCAAAGTGGACATTTCTTGTTCTAGCATAACCAAACTTCAAGAATCCCTTGCAAAAAAAAATTAAAGTGGACATTCGCGCGCGCAAGACGAAATCCTTCCAAAACCTTAGTGTTCGTCGCGATTTTAACATAAAAACATCAAAAAACCAAATGGTTTTTCAAAAAAAAATATGTCAAAATTTCATCCCGCGCGCTCTTGCGGATTTGTAGGAAACCCAACACTTTTTAAACATTTCTGTCAAACGGGCTTTCGCGAGCAACTTTTTCACGTGCTTCGAACTTCTCTAACAACGGTTGCGCACCTGCCAGGGCCATCATCCCTGTCAAATAATACCATGCGGGACACATTCGTTTTTTCTTCGCGCGCGCACGCCGAAATCTTCAAAAACCATTGGGTGTCTTAGGAATTCTAGCAGCGCGCAACATAAAATCATACGAATCGCACCGTAGGTCCTCGAAAAACATCTGTACGAATTTTCAAAATTTCTACCCGCGCGCGCTGTCCGAATCCTAAAAAACCAGTACAGGTGTCCAGTGTTGGAACAGGGGAAGAAGTCGTATACTAAGCTAGCGTCCAGAAAATGTTACCACAACAAGTCACTGTACCCATGCGCCAGTGTAGTAGCCACGGTCGTCCGCAGGCCACGAAGTGAAGTGTCCGAACGTCATAGGGCGGGAAGCTGGGTGTGGGTGGTGGCGAAGAGTCGTTTGGAAATGTGGTAGAGCTTGAACCGGCCCCCCCACAAAGTGGGGGTATTGGCGGGCGTCGTATGAAAACCCTGGCACTGGTGAGAACGGAGTGTCCCCACGTGCTAGTAATTGTTGTTGTTGTTGTTGCCGTTGTTGGTGTCGTTGTCGGCGTTGTTGGTGGTGTTGTTGCCGTTGCTGTTGCTGGTGTTGATGGTGTTGCTGGTGTTGTTGGTATTGTTGTTGGTGTTGTTGCTCTTGTTGGTGTTGTGGTTGTTGTTGGTATTGTTGTTGTTGCTGTTGTGGTTGTGATGGTGGTTGTGGTTGTGGTTAGTGTACTCGTGTGCTCCTTTATAAAAAGCCAAAGCTGTTGTTGTTGTTGTTGATGTTGCTGTTGTTGTTTCGTGTGCTCCTTGATAAAAGCCAAAGCTCAAGAAGGACGTGCGTGACCGGCCACGTGCATGACATTGTCTCAGATCGCAAACGGTTGCGTGATGCGCGCTCCTTGCCATCGTTCGAACATCCGTTTGCCGTGCACATTTCAGCTTCGCGCGTGCATGTTTCGCAAGATGGTTAAGATGCTCATCGATGGTCCTCGCCGACGAACAATGCACATGTCCGAACGATGCCAAGTCTTTCGGCACCCGTGTGAATTCATGTAGACGCGACTACGTCCTTCTGTCGACCATGACTCTCCTGCCCTGCAATCGGTCCCCTCCCTCCTCCCATTGCCGTTCCCGTCCTCCCTCCTCTTCCCTGACATCTCCCAGAGAGAATGGGTTTTTGCACCGGGGGGACCAATGGGGGGAGGGGAGGACGAGGGAATGGCGGAGCAATGTAATGGGGGAGGGGAGGGAGGAGAGACAGGGGCGTAGGGGGTGACAGGATAGGATGGGAGGGGAGGGCGGGGAAAGAGGGAGGGAGGCAGATCGAAAGGGACCCTGGGCAAGAGGAGGATGGATCGAAATGGGGGAAGGCGATGGGTGAGAGGGGGTGGACAGGGGGGATGCAGTCAACCCGCATCAGAAAGATACGCGGTAAGAATGCAAGGGCCTTGGACACCCATGTCGAAGCCTTTCGAACGGGGCGCGGCCAACGAAAGTGGCGAAGGATGGACGGAGGAGACAAAGATGCAAGGGTGCCATTGGGAAGGTTGCCATCCTGACTATGCGGGTCGACTATAAGGGGGGGGCGGGTGGACAAGACCCTCCCTGCTCCCTGCCCCCCACCGCCCCCCGCTCGCCCTTACCTCTCCCTTGGCCCCAGGACCGTCGGGATGAAGAAGCGGCCCTCGGGAAAGGGTCGGGACTCTCTGGGACCCCATCGGGTGTCTGGGGGGATCACAGTGCGACAGGGTCACAGCGGTTCGCGGTAAGGATGCAGTGCCCCAGGACGCCCAGGTTGAGGCCTCTTTGGGGGGATGGCGAGCGAGAATGACAGAGGATGGGCCAAAGAGGAGAGGCTGCAGGGGTCTGCGGCGAGCCCGGGGGTGGAGTGAGACGGGGCAGGTCCTTCTCAGAAAGGCGGCGGAGCAACTCAGAAGCCCTGGCGCCTTCTGATAGTGAGCGTTTTTTTATTCGGCGTCTCGACATGGAGCGAAGGAGGGGGCACATTCGACGTCTCGACATGTCGACGTTTCGACGTTTCGACATTCGGCGTTTCTGTTAGTGAGCGTTTTTTTTATTCGGCGTTGCGACATTGAGCGTCGAGGGGGGATAGGGAGGGGGGGTGGCTCCGACCCTCTGCTGAGTGCGACTGTTTTTGCGACGGTGCGTCCTCCGAGGGGGGAGGCTCCACCTGCTCGAAGCAGGCGCCCAAAGACAGCTCAGATCCACTCCAGGGGTGGATGGGGGGGTACGAGAGCCTGCGCCGATCGGCAAAGCAATGAAGAACAACACGAGCCCGGAAGTGTCCGGTGCGCGTGCGTGTCTTGGGAAAGGCGCAGGGGACTTCTCTCAGAAGGCCAAAGAGGCCTCCCGAGCCATCTCAGAAGGGGCCCGCCCCCTCTGCTCACCCAGCCCGAAGCAGATCCCCGTCCCTGTGCCTGGCATCGCCTTGTATCGTGATGCCGATCGTAGGGGTTCCCTCGGTTTCTGAGGGCGCATCCATAAGATTGTCATCGCCTTCTGGCTTGCCAATCTGTGAAGGACAGGAATCAGTTCGGGGCTGGTGACCTGCTCTTCCCCCCCAGGCTCGCCGCCGACCATCCTTCGTCCTCTCCAGGTGGGCGCTGTTTCCACAGCACCGGGGGAGAGGGATGGAGAGAGGGAGGGAGGGGAGGGAGGGAAGGGAAGTAGCTTTTTTTCGTTGCTTAGAACCTGGGACCATAACCCCAACGCCCGAGGGCCCCCCTTGGTGACGGGGGTGGGGACCCACTCGGGTGCCCCCGGTTGGGAGGAGGAAGGGGGAGGAGGGGGGGGGCAAGTTAGGTGCGCGCGCGTCATATCTGACATCCTACCCCTCCCTCCAATCCCTTACCATGGCGCAGATCCCCTCTCTACGCGCACAGTCGGATGTCGAGCAGGGCAATGATCCCGAAAGGGTACGCGATGCGTTGTAGAGCACGGCATGGCATGGCGTAGAAGAGCACCGCAAACCGTAGTATTGCATGCCGTGGCATGGCACGGGAAATGACGCCAGCGCTGCAGCGGAAGCACGAGTCGAAACGAGCGGAAGCGCGGAAATGAGGCCAACGCTGCAGCGGGAGTACGATTCGGAACGAGCGGAAGCACGGAAATGAGGCCAGCGCTGCAGCGGGAGCACGATTCGGAACGAGCGGGGCCCGAACATGAGGACGGCGCCTCAGCGAGAGCAGCATTTTGAAAAAAACATGCAGGCGAAAACCCAACTCCGGGGAAACCTGTGTAAAAAAAACAATACGCGGGGGGATCGGACACTTTCAAACCGTTATCAGGGGAAGAGGGAGAGTAGTACTCATATTGAGTAATTGTGGAGGGGAAGAGGGGGAGGGCGAGGGATTGAGGGAGGGAGGGGAGGAGAGGAAGGAGGAAGGGAATGGGAGGAGGGAGGGCTCATCGCCCAAAGGGCACCCTCGGCAGGCCGCTCCTCGCCCATGAGATGGGGTCTGACCGAGGCAGCGCCTCCAGCTCGGGTGCTGCCAGGAGTGCCCCTGGCCAGAGGTGCCCCCCAGGATCTCCAAGAGGGGCCCCCGCGGCCTACCAGCCTCGAACGTATCCCTATCCCTAAGATTGACACGCCAAAAGGCGATGACAATCTTTGGGATTCGCCCTCACAAAATAAGGGAATCCCTAAGATTGGCATCGTGATGAGGAGGTGCCCAGCATAGGGATAGGGATATGTTCCAGGCTGGTAACTCTGGAGCACACCTCACGGGGTCCGGGGGGCCCCAGGGACTCCAGAGTGGAGCGAACAGCTGGGGGCACCTTGGGCCAAGGGTTCCTTGACTTACCCCCGACAAGAGCGCCGCCCCCCGGGCGGCGCCTTCCAGCATCAGTGTCAACAAAAATCCGCGCGGAGCTCCGACAGCAGTATGCACATGGCGTTGTCTGTTACTCTGCTATTCCCTTGGCTGCGTGAACACGGGGGTATGGGGCAGGGGGGAAATGTTCTTAGGTGGAGGCTGCGTCTTAAAAGGCGCCGTCACTGCATCTACAGACAAGGCCCAAGTCTTCTAAGAAGCGGGGGTGCTTCGAAGAAGCCTTCCCCCCTCCCTCTACCTCCCTCCGCACATGGCTGAATTGCCGCTCCCTCGTTCGCCCACAATCCATGTCAATCCGACCAATCCGTCTCGACGTCTCGATACCGATTCCAACCAGCCCGATCCTGTTCGATTCTGGTAATCTGGCGATCCGAGACATCCACGTGGACCTCCGAAACTTTCTGCTCATGTACTTTCTCATGTCCTTCCCAACCCTCGTCATCCTCCATCACCGTTTCAGCACACCCCTCACACGCTTCGTGGCCCAACAAGGAGCTCCATCGAAGGCTCCTGTGGCTGCGTTCGCGTGGCGGCCCCGCCCCATCTCGGTACACTCCTCACACGTTTCGTAAGCACCTGCTAAGGGTTGGGTTCTTCGCCAGGCTGATCTGACAGATCGTCGATCCTCGACCCAGGGAAGGGGGGTCCAACACCGATCAAAGAAATCCGCGCAGACCTTCGACAACTTATGCTCATGGCATGTCATCTTTTTCTGCTATCCCTGTTCTCTCATTGTCCCCCTCCTATTCGCCAAAAAAATATTTCAACCCGATCGGCAAGCCTCGACATCGGTTCCGGCCAACGCTCGCCCAGGCCAATGAACCCAGATCAAATCCGACCAGATCGAGCACGTGGCTGACCCCGGTCTCGGGGAAACCAAGATAGAGGAAGAAAAACGCATAAACATAAACTTTGGACGATCCGCGCAGATTCTTGGATTTGCGTGGCGCGCTCCGCGCGCCAGGGGCGGCGCCGGAGGCGCCGCAGGGGGGCGCCAGCGCGGATCCAAGAAAACCGCGCGGAGCATTAAACTCGGGTCGGGCGAAAGGGGGGGATAGCAAAGGGCAGGGTTGAGAATCAGCTCACGTAGCTGATTTTCCCGGCGCCTCCCGGCGCCGGAGGCAGCTATGTATCGAGGAATGGGCCCCTCGGTGAGGCCGAAACCAGCTGCATGCAACAAATTCCGTACTCCCCCCTTTCCCAATCCCCCCCTTTCGCCCGGCCCGATAAACATCTATGTTTTTCTTCCTCGACAAACACTACCGATACCGCTACTCACCAGACCTCTCCCCAATGCCGCTCTGACCAGCATCTCGAGGCGAATCCGGCGCCGGTGGCGCCAGCCTCCCCGGAGGCCCACCAGAGGCGAAGAGGAAAAGGGCGGAGGGCAGCGGCACGGGTGGCCTTTTTTGAAGGGGCCCTGGGACACACAAATAAAAATATACAAAGAAATACACACTGATAAAAGGAATCCCTATATTTTCTCATATTTTCTGGGCTTTTGTCTTCCCCCCCACTTCCCATATCTTCTCATATCTTCGGGGGATCGACGATTAGTTGTGTCTCTGTGTTTTTTCCCCTCCCGATTTTATTCCTCCGACGGCGGCCCCCGAAGCGCCCCCTCTCAGGAAGGCACAGGAGGGCCACAGCGGCTCCAGGACGCAGCGGCAGGCTGGGAAGAGCTGGGGGCACCCCTGGCCATCGCTCGGGCGTGCATGCCCTGTTTTTTTCGGTTTCGTGCGTGGTTGTTTCGCCAAACGATCAAGGATGCTCCTCGATGGTCCTCGTCGAAAGAAAAATGCACACGTCCGAGCGATGCCAAGACCTTGGGCTTGCAACCCCCGGCGGATGCCCTGACCCCCGTCTCTTGCTGCCGCTCGGACGGCCCTCCCCGGGCGATGTCTTCGGCCTCGTGCGTGCTCTCTTGGCTCGATGATCCAGGATGCCCCGCGATGGTCCTCGGCGGATAACTAACAGAAAGCACACGTCCAAGCGCCCCAGGCCCCCGACGTCGTGAATTTTTCATGACGTGCCCCATCAGACGTCTGGACCCCTTTTCCCGGGGACCGTTCTTGCATCCCGAGACGTCTTGTCGACGGCCCCGAGGGCGGGGAAGGGCGCCCCGGAGGCGGAAGGCAGGGAAAAATCTGCCGCCTGGGGATGCCAAGGCCTCTTGCATAGAGGAAGAAGAACCGCCATGCACACAAGCTCTTGGCGCTCCGCGCGGGTTCCTCGGATCCGCGCTGGGCCCCCCTCCCTGGAGCGCGGCGCGCGCCGACGGGGCGGCGCCAGAGGCCCCGCCGGAGGGGGGCCCAGCGCGGATCCGAGGAACCCGCGCGGAGCGCCAACAGTTTGTTTATTAGAGGGCCACATGCGAACCCTGCCCCTGCCCCCCACGATTTCTGAGGGGGAGGGAGCTCCTGAGCGAAGTGAGCCCCACCCTCCCCCTCAGAAATCGTGGGGGGCAGGGGTAGGGTTCGCATGTGGCCTCCTATTTATGGCGTTTTTGCTTATTCGATTGCAGCTCGACGCCGGGAGCGCCGCGGCCTCGCCGACGGGGCGGCGCCGCCGCATCCGCGCCCCACGGGGCGCCCATGCGGCGCCGGGCCCCGGCCCGCGGCCAGATGCTCGCGCCCAGTGGCCAGAGCCAAAATGGCTGCGGGGGGGGATCATGGGAGCGAGGGGGAGGAGGGGGAGGAGGAGGAGAAGGAGCAGGAGGAGGAGGAGGAGCAGGAGGAGAAGGATGAGGAGAAGGAGGAGAAAAGGAAGGGTGAGGGAGGATCGTGGGGAGGGGAAGATCATAGGGAGGAGCAGGGGGAGGAGCCAAAAGGGCTGAGGGGAACGGGGAGGATGGAGGGGAGGAGCCGGGGGGAGAAAGGGAGACGGGGGGGCAGAATGCTGAGGCGGCGAGCTCCGCGCTCAAGAGGGGGGGCAACCCGATCCACACATTCCTCGCGGACCTCCGAAACGTTATCTGCGCCGAGCACTTTGTTGGAGGCCTGGAAAGGGACACCAACAGGGGGTTGCCTCCACAGGGGGAAAGATGATCCTTGGCTTCGGCATTGGTTGTAATATTTCGGTGACCTTGGAAGCCAAACTATCACCACCATCACCGAGATCGGGATCTTCTCCCCTCGGTGGTGGAGGCACACCGCCGATACTGGTGCTGGTGTCAGCCTACAGGCCTGCGACTCTGGAGGATCGTGTGCCGAGCACTCTACGGGATGCACGGCGCGGTGCTCCCTGAGGGCGTCGCTCGCCTGCTGAGGACGGGGATAGGGGAAACCAGAAAGTGCCGATACCGCTGCTCCCCGTACCTCTCCCGGGGCGCGCGCTGACCAGGATCTCGGGGCGAATCCAGCGGCGGCGACGAGGGCCTCCCAGGAGGCCCACAAAGGGGAACACGGGCGAAGAATAGCGGTATGGTTAGTTCGCACATGTCCCCCTACATGCGGACCTCGGGCGAAAAATAAAGATAGGCAAACATAGTCAACAATATCCCAAAAATAGTCAAACATAGTCAAAACATCGCCCCCAGACTATGTTTTGACTATTTTAGAGTATTCCTCATGTAGAGAGACATGCCCGACTTGAGGGTAGCGGTATGGGTACCTTTCCCTCCTCCGAGGGGAGGGCAGGAGCAGGCCGCATCGAACATCGCGGCAGGCCGGGTCGGAGCAGACAGCGTGCGGCGGGTCGGCCCGCACGGGCGCGCGGTGGCGTCGGCGTGGAGGCGGATCGGCCGCGCCGGGGTGCCGCCACGGGGACGCCACGAGGAGGGCCGGGCCGCCTCGGATGGCCGGAGGGTCGCCTCGGATGGCTGGAGGGTCGGGGTGGCCTCGGGTGGCCGCCTCGGATGGCCGCGGATGGCCGTGAGCTCGCGGGTGGCCTCGGGTGGCCTCGGGTGGCCGCCTCGGGTGGCCACGAATGGCCGCCGGAAGGTCGCCTCGGATGGCCTCGGATGGCCGCCTCGGATGGCCGGAGGGTCGGGATCGAGGCGGAGCGAGCTGGCCTGGATCTGCAGCGAATCGGATCGATCGGAGCCTGGAGGGAGGGAGGGATTGGGGCCCCGCAGGAGAGCAGGAGGAGACGACGAGGAGAAGGCAGAAGGGTAAGGGCGGAGATGATCAGTGGTCCGCTTGGGCCGACAACGATGGTCCACTTGGGTACTACGTCAGCACGGTCGATTTCCCCTCGGCATGTTCGATCCCATGACCACTTCACGTGGGAAGTGGATGGGAGAGCGATGAGCAAGGATGATGATGACAACACCAAGCTCCCACGCTCATAAATTGCAGAGTGATGCCTGCCACCTCGGCAGGGCAGCGTCTGGAGAAACACCGTATGTTTGTCCCTCAGCGTACCCAGCAGTACCCTGGTCTCGTGCTTCGCTGAGGCAAGCTTGATGGGGAGGATAAGGTGGGTGAGTACATGAAGCAAGAGCAAGGGCGTAAACAGTTCTAATAACACCAAAGTCTGAGAGACGTAGTACTCGAACTTTTGGGACTCGAATTTGCCTCATGGGGCAGTCACGAGAATAACAGGACCTACTTTCATGCTCGGCATGAACCACCACTGCAAACATCTCACAAGAACTAGAACGACAAAAGCCGCGCCGGGACTGCCACAGAACGGCGGCACACCCGAATCCGGGCAAACTCGAGGATTGCGCTTCCCCGACAGAAACAGAGAAGACGCACCGGCGAGCTAAACCGAGCGGTGAAGCGCAGACAATTGTAAGCAAGGGCTCCCAACTTCGCGCTTCGCGCTGCGCGAAGCGCGAACTGCGAATAACTTCGCGCTCTCGTGCCGCCTCCCAGGGGAGAAGAGGAGGATGAGGGATCGGAGCCGAACCGCGAAACGCGAATAACTTCGCGCCTTCGTGGGAGCCCTTGGAAGCAAGGCGAAGACGCGCGCGCTGCGCTGCTCAAAGCTGCGACGACCTGACTTGCGCTCCTTGCCCTGCCTCTGGCATTCCGGGATCAGCAAACACCGGCTCGCGAAGTCAGATCAGGTCGCAGGGCGTTTGTCCACCACCACCACCACCACCACAAGTTGGAGGGGGGGGCCTCCTCTTCCTCCTCCTCCTCCTCCTCCTCCTCTTCGTCCTCCTCCTTCTCGCCCTCCTCCTCCTTCCCCCCTCCAACTTGTGGTCGCCCATGACAGGTCGCAACATGCGTCAGCTCGGGCTGCAGCATGCAGAACAGCGCGAACCGCGCGTCGGGCCGCATCGGACCAGAGGCATATCGGAATCGAGTCGGTTCAGGCCGCCCGCAGTCGACATGGACCCTGCGGGCGGCGCAACACGGACGAGTGCAATCAAGGCAAAGACGACTGCGCGGCGCTGCTCAGCTCTGCGACGCTCTGGCTTGCGCACCCTGGCACACGCCGCTCTGCACACGACGCTGCTGTTGCGTGTTGCGGAATGAATTCGTCCTCCTGCATCCCAAGAGAAGCCAACATCGAATCGCCAAGTCGGACCGGATCGGAGCATGCATCCAAACGGGCCGCATCGCCACGGAGGCGGAATCGAATCGGAGCGGCCGCGTAAGGACGCATAACGACCTCATGCGAACAATGGGCCGTATCGGATCGTCGGCATATCTGGATGGAAAGAGATCAGGTGGGCCGAACTCGATGTCGAATCGGATCAACGTGGGTCCTGCATTTGCGATTCACTTTGATGTTCCTTGCGCCGCTTGTGTTATTTGAGTCGATTGGCCTTTCATGGACAGGCTGCTTCTTGTTTTGGTCACGACTAGATGTACCATGCGCGCACCATTATCGGTTTGATACGGTCTGCTCTGATTTGCTGTAAAATGGTTGGATGTGCTGTGTTTCGGTGGTGTGCCGCGTCGGCTAAGGGTACTCATTGGTACAATGTTCATTTACCGGGCGCTGGCTGTATTTTTTTGCGTCGCGCTGCTGCACGTTTGTCTGGCATGATGAGCTGCTCTGGTTGTCCCTTGCTCTGTTTTGGCGTGGGATGCGATCGCTGATGTCGCCCACCCCCCAAAGACAGCCCTTAGACCTAACCAGTACGGCTACACGCTTCGAAGTTGCGATCACTACCATTGCTATACGATGACCTAGGCCCCTCAACAAGACACAGCTTGCATGAGCATCTTTAAATACTTTTAGTCAGCGGCCGCGGGCGAGCGCGCCGGCGGCGAGTCAGGTCAAAGCGGGCTACGCAGAGACTAATTAGGCAGAGGGGACGCGGGAAAAATAGAGCAGAGCAACGCGCGAGGCGACGGCTACGCGCCCGCCGAGGCCTCAGGTGGGTGGCTGAGGGGACTGAGACTGAGGGGAACTGCCAGCGTGCAAAGCTGCAAGTCCGTCGGATGCGCCATACGTCGGAAAATCAACGACGGCCAGGGACAACTCCGAGAGAGAAAGCGCGATACCGTACCTCAGACGACTACGTGGGCACCAGGGTGGAAGCATTGTTAGATACGCGAAGCGTCAAACATTACGCCTTAGCGGCATCATGCCTCACAGAACATGCTTGCAGAACACACAGGCAAAACGAACATATACTGGTCAAGACCAACCATACCTGAACCCACGCGGGGACAGGGAGACCAAACGAGGTTCCTCGATACGACAGGCCGTGCAAGAGAACAGAAACCGACGTGAGACACCTGGCCACGAGCCACCGATTCGGTGTCTCGATAGGCTGACCCGGGCCTTCCAACAGTAGGGAAAACCACTCTCCAGCCACAACAAGGCTTTAAAACCGCAGCCTGCTTTGAGACCGTGGGGATGTTGGTATCTTTTCGCATGCGCTCTGACGAGAAGGGGCCAGACGACGCATGGAAGTAAGAGATGGGGACCATGACATGTGGGAGACGTCATGGCCTCAGCCATGATATCTACACTCCCCTAGTCTTCAGCCCTCTCTCCGACTCCACCGATAGTTCTCTCCTATCGTCCTCGCACGTGCGGCACGAAAATTCATTTTCAGACCCTCGAGGTGATATCGAGGCGCGATCCCACAAATGCACGATCCCATGGAAACGTTCTGCGCGGGGCACCTGCGCAAAGTCGCGGCGGAGAAATCCCGGTCGCAAGGGCATGCATACAGTCAGCGTGCTGCCATGAGTGACCACATACCAGACCACCCCAATCCAACGCAACCCGAAGACTCGAATTTCTGGTTTGGGGGGGTACGGGAATGATTCGTGGTTTCTCATGTTCCCCGACCCCCGCCCCACTGGAAATGGAGGTCACATCGGGGCCTTCGGGTTGGGCTGTGGAGGCTTGGTGGGCGGTGAATGCGGGATGCGGCAGCGCCGGAACGAAGGGTCTTCTCGGGCCGTGGCAAGCCAGGGCAACGAGCAGCTCAGGAACGGCCCGAAGCGATCGATGAGCCCCTCCCAGACCCGACGCGGCCTCAGCTCAGCGCGATGACCATATGGATTGGCTTCCGGCTCGCCATCCTCAGGATTGAGCAGGGACCGACCGTCCCGGCATTCCTATGGTCTTAACACGAAGTGTTCTTAGAACCCAAGAATGTTCTAAGAACCAAAACAATGTTCTTAGAACAAATTCCCGATGTGTTAAAACAAGCCAGTCCCAGCCAGAAATCTTCTCAGAACATGTCCTGGCAACCACAGCAGGTTCTTGGAACATTGCTTGGCAGGGCTATGGGCGAGCCAGGACGCTTCGCCACTGCTTGACAGGAGGAGCATCCCGGAGGCCTCGCGCGCGCCAGCTCGAGACCCAACTTGCGTCGGATTCGCGTCGGGTGCGCGTCTCGACGCTGCGCTGGCCTCACGCCGCATCTGCGCCGGACCCACGCCGCGCAGCCGTCGTCCCGCCCCCCGACGGGGGGCAGACGTGTGGACCAGACTTATGTTGTTTCCGTCCTGCTTGAGGACCGCATCCCAGAAAGAGATTTCGAGCACCAGCGAATGTGTCAAACGAGTGTCGAAGCAGCGTCGGAACGGTGTCGGGCGAGTGCCTCCCAGGGCCGGGCCCGACGCGTGCAAACCCTGGAGCTTCGGTGCTTTCTCGGGCGCTCGAGAGCCTTCCTGGCGATCAAGGCTAGAAGTAGGCTGGAGCATAACAAGACTAGACGGTGCGCCTCCCGCGCGCCGCGCGAGGCCTCCGGGCGGGAACAAGGCAAGGCGGCACCGACACCAGCAGGGCGAGGAGGTGCGAGGCGGCACGGGGCGTCTCCTTGGCGGCGTGGGCCCCCGCTCTCGCTGGAGGCATGCCCGGCCCCCCGGCTCGGGGAGGCATCGTGGACCTCCTCGCCGGAGGTGGGCCCCCTGGTGGTGCTGGCGTCGCCCCTCCTTCTCGTCGTCCTTCTCCTCCTTCTCGTCGTCCTTCTCGTCCTCCTCCTTCTCGTCCTCCTTCTCGTCCTTCTCCTCCTTCTCCTCCTTCTCGTCCACCTCCTCCTCCTCCTTCTGGTCCTCCTCCTCCTTCTCGAGGACGCGAGGCCTCTGGGGGGGGAAGGGGCCCGATCGAGGCCCAGCAAGGGAGCCCCCCCCTCCAAGGGCCCCCCGGGAGAGGAGCACCCGAGAGGCCCCCCCCGTGGACGTCATCCCCCCCCCCCTCTGGGGGGGCCGGCGGAGGGGGCGTAAGCTTCGGTCGGGCACGTCCTCCCAATCGAGCCGCCGAAAAAAGGAACGCCAAATAGGGAGCGAAGCCCCTTCGTTAACCCCAAACCCGCATGTGTGGACGAGGAACGCTAGAGAAACAGCCATGGAAGGACCTACTAAATGTAAGGAACGTCGAGCCCCTTCCCAGCCCGAACGGTTCCTCATTTCAGCGTCTTGGCTGTACAGGTCGGGCACGTCCTCCTACAGGCTCGAGTTCTTGGGTACTTTTCAGGTGCTCGGACTTCTTTCTGGTGATCAAGGCTAAAGTGGATTGGAGCATCATGACTTTGGTGGCCGCTAGTGGCCTGTGCAAACATGCAAACAGGACATTCGCAGGTTAGAATGAGGGGGGGCGTTTGGGTGTCGCTGCCTTGGGGGTCCAAAAAGGGGCTGAACCTAAACGGTGTTTCGTTTTGTTATCGCTTTCCCTCGTTTTGTCTCCAGCCCGCCTTTGCCGCAGAACGGAGTCGAAACGACTACTGCCCGCGAAATCGCCAAAACGCCGTTTAGGTCCAGCCCTGCGGGCGGATGCTGGGAAGGAAAATGAAACGGAATCAAACAATCCTCAGAAAGCAACATGACATACAGACCCAAGACCTCGTCCCCCTACGATTTTCTGACCATTCTCCAAGGTTCCTCCTGTCGAGGGACACGCCCGACTCCGAAACGCAAACCTCTCGACGGCGGCTGCGCGCCGCGCGACCCTCCCCGAGGCGGCCCGGCGGCGGCGCGCGCGGCTTTTCGTCACCAGCTCGGCGGGGGGCGCGCCCGCGCCGCGGGGGGCGGGGGGCCAGCACGCCTGGTCTGGCCAGCCTCGAACGTGCCCCCATCCCTGGGGTGGACGAGCCAGACGTTCGGGTGACCCAGCAGGGGGTCCAGCTGAAAGGGGGGGGTGCAATACTTTTCGGACACTTTGATCGCACATGTATTGCGCAGGAGAAGTGCATTGCATTGTATTGCAAGGGATGTCTTTCACGCGACAATCCAGCAACTCCAGCAATCCACTTGCGCCCCAGAATGCACTGCGCGCCCCAGATGTATTGCACCCCCGAAAATCGATCGCACCCAAATCTATTGCACCACCCCCTTTGTCGCTGGACCAGCTGTTGGGCCAACCCGACGAAGGCGACGACAGCCTCAGGAACGGAGCCCTAAGGGATCGGCACGACGGTAAGGCGATGCCGCGCACAGGGACGGGGGTACGTTTTCAGGCTGGCGAAGGCCGGCGGCCGAGGGGCCCGCACGCCAAGCCTGGCCAGCCTCCAACGTACCCCCTACCCCCGAGGTGGGCACGCCAGAATGAAAGGGGCCCCAGGAACCACACAGAAGCACACACAAATAAACAGATTCCCCATCTTTCTCCACATTTTTCTGGGTTGTCGTCTTCTGTGCTTCTCCCCTCCTGACAAAAGGCGACGGTCGTCTCAGGAACGGAGTTCGGCTACACGCTAAGGGCCGTGGGCAAGAGTGGCCGTTGCTGCGCGGCTTCACGGGGGACGCGGGGTGGCCAAACCCGGGCGCGCAAGACGCTGCTTCCGCTTCGCTTTCAGCGATCGGGGGGCCCTTTTGGGCCCGCACCACAGGTCACTCCGGCGAAAGCTCTTGCGTCTAGTCGAAGAACCCCTAAGATCGGCATCGTAATAAGGCGATGCCACGCACAGGGACAAGGATATGTTCCAGGCTGGCGAAGGTCGGCGGCCCAGACGGTTCCGGCGGCTCGAGGGAGTCGGGGCGGCATATTGTGTCGCTGCTGCTGTGAGGAACGAACCGAAAAACATTGTTTCCCATCGAACCTGTAGCGAAAAAGGGGAAGAAACTATACGTTTCGCCCCCGAAAGGCTATTCGGGCCAGACCGCCTCCGGTACAGCGTCGAACGAAAATCGTCGACGCCGGGACAAGTGGACGAGCGGAGAGATCCAGTGCACAGTGGAGGAGAACTCAAATCACCCGTGGGCGACTATCCGTTCGAAATCACTCGAGGGCCCCAAGAGCGCCTGGGCGCACGGGGAGTCTGCAGGAACAACTATTGTTGGGCCCGTTGTCCACCACCACTACCATACGTAGGAGAGGGAGGAGGAGGAGGAAGAGGAGGAGGAGGAAGAGGAAGAGGAGGAGAAGGATGAGGACCAAAACCAAGAAACGCCGAGGACCAGTTCAACTCATATCGAGAGGCACAAGACACAGGCCAGCATAGGCCAGGAAAACAAAACATGGTCCCTGCGCGGGGCGTAGCCCAGCACATCCAAACCTCGATGCGCCCTCGCTGGAGGGAGCAACCCCCGCTGGCCGCAGAGGCGCACCCCTACATGCGCGGAGAGCCACGCTGAGGCTGCCTGCGGGCGCCGGCATCCTCTGACAACGCATCATCGAATTTCTGGTTCCGCTGACCGACGCTCTGGGGCGCCTGCTCCTCACTTCAGACGAGACGGCCATTCCCTCGGCGCGGTCAGTCTCAGCAGCAGCCGCTCTTTCATCCCCCCCCTTCCCCACCCCCACCCCCGCCCGCGCAACAAAAGAGCCCCTCCCGTCGCGCGGCTGTCCCGCAGGACGCCGCGCAGGACCAGGGAGCGGTGCCGCTCGCTCTGGAAGAGAGCGCTGGGGAGGGGGAGCTGGGGCGGAGGCAAGGTCCTGCCGCGGACCTCCTGGGGCAGAGGGCAGGGCGCAGAGGGAGGGACAGAACGCGCGGCCCCATTCACATCGCGATCCACATCCAAGTCGCGCTCATACTTGATTAGATGTGTCCACAAATTGAACTATCTTTCATCCTCAAGACACACAAACTGCGGCATGCGCTCTGAGTCGCTCTCTGGATGTATACGCATACCTATATATATATATATATATACATACACATACACATATACATATACTATCGCCGGGCAGCGCAACGCGCTGCATCTGGGTTTGCATGGCTGCGCCGTCTGCGCGTGTCTGGGGCAGATCCTCGCCGAGACCACCGAGACCTCACAATGGCAACCGACAGTGGCATGAATCAGTTCGGCCTCATGCGTAGACTGCCGTGCGCAATCTTCCTGGGACTTCCGCTCCTCCCCCCGCGTCGCAGCAACAAACAGAGTCGCCCCACACTATGAAATGTAGCCAATCTGCCGGGAACATGGGATACCGCCCTCAGCGCTTGAACTTCAAATTCGCATCACCTCCCGATGCGCATCGCCGCCGGCCCCTCGGCTTCCTATGTGAGCAGCTGGGATAGTTTGCGTTAGAGAGGCCCTGGCGGACTTGAACTCACAAGTCCCTAAGCTCCCGCCTCTGCCAAGATCTGGTCGAGGATTCCGCAAAGCTGGACGCCTGCGGGTCTGCCGTGCTGGATATGGGCCTGCAGCGTCGGGCTGCCTGACATCTCGGCGCCGACGCGCTCTCTTCTCAGCGCCTCGACCGAGAAGTGCGCGACGCGCTGCGCGACCTGCGCCACTGGCTCGCCCTTCGCGCGCGACCCCCAGAGGCCGCTCGCGGGCTTGACTGCCGCACCTTGGGCCATCTTCCGCGACGCCGCCATCGCCGCGAAGATGATCGCGACAGAGGGTGCGTCCGCCATGCCCGCGCGCGCTGTCGCCCGCCATATTCTTCTCCATCAGATCGGCGACGGCCCCGGCGTAGACGGCGTCGGCCTCGACCCCCGCCTTCGGCATCCAGCGCGCCTCTGGGGCGAGGTGGCCCTCGAGGGCGCCGCCTCCTACCGCGGCCTGCTCGCGCGGAGTGATCTGCGCGAGCTGGGCCGCGCAATCGAGAGGCTCCCGCTGCTTCATTGCGTCTTGTCCTCGGAGCTCGGGTTGACTTCGGTCGTCCTGGCAGCCTGCAGCGCGGGGTCACTTGGCCTCGTCTGACTCGTCGGTGCGTCCTGGCCGCTGAGCCCCACGCGCGGCCTCGGCCCACGCGGGCCGCTCCTCTCCGAACATCTCCACGCCCCAGCCCCCCGACATGGCGAAGTGGCTGGACGCGACGCCGACAGGGCAGGTGCGCGCAGACGCGCTCGTTGTAGGAGCTCTCTTCTGGACCAACTTGAACCGCGCGCGCCACAGACGATGACGAACTCTGGCTCAATGAGCAGCCTCAGCGCGGCCAGGCGCGTCGGAAGCCCAGCGACGCACATAAAGCACCTCCTTCAAGAACCTCGGGATCTTCGGGTTGGAGCCCAGGGGGGGAGGCCACGTCAACTTCAGAAAACCGACTGCCAAGTACGCGGGCATCAATCATGGCGAAGTCCTGGGACACCTCGAAATCGAAAAGACCTCCGATAGAAGCGCCGGCGCGGGCCCAACGATGGGCCGCTTCCCCAGGCCAGTTCACCAGCTCCTCAAGGCCCCCTAAAAACTACAGGGCCCACGGTATCGCGCTCGCACCCAGGAGCCCAATCAGTGCAAACCTCGTGGAACTCAAAGGGAGAGACCCGCCAGCAAGTGCCAGCGAGCCCTTGGCCCGCTCGCACACGCCGGGGGACGGCTCGAACGACGGACCTGGAGCTCGCTGGCAAGGAGGATCGAGGCGCCACCACTGGTGCACCTCTCGCGTGGAGAGACAGCGACGCCACGCACCCACCCGCCCCCAGCTCGCCTCGCCTCTCATGGCCATGCTCGCAGGGCCGCCGACGGCGAGGCCCGAGGTCTGCAGCCGCGGTGCAGCGGGCGCAAAAGCTTCGACACCAGCGAGCGCCGCGTTGACTACTTGACACAACCACAAACATCGCTCCCAGCGGTGCGGGGCCCCCTTCGGGAACCAGAACTGCCCCATCCTATAGAAGGCCGCTTTGATGGCCCTGGTGCATTTGACGAGCTTGGCGCTGCAGCGCTGCGCGGGGGTCAGGGAAGGCCGGGTGCTTAACCTCCTCCGACACCTTGGTGCCCTGGTCCCTCGGGGCGCTCGCGGCGCTCCTCGCATCTCTGGGGGGCCCTTCGCCGCGCCTCCTGCTTGCCCCCGTTCCACTTCAAATCCACCCTGTCCGTTGCCCCATGAGCCTTCAGAGACTTATCTGCGTTTATGAAAAGGCCTGCAATCTCCATCTTCAGGAGATCATCCGCGACCTTCTTGTGGCCCAAGTAGACCCGGGGGGAGGGCCTGGGATCTTGGCCTCGGGGGTCCGCAACCATATCGTACACTCGCTCTCTGGGTCGGCATGTCGGAATCGCCCAAGCCATCTGTCGACGGGCTGGCGAAAAGACGCCCGCGACCGACCAGGCAGCGAACGGGTCGCGCTGCAACCGCCCTCATCCAAGTCGGCGAAGGAGGGGTTCATCGGACGCAAGGAGCACGCGCCCCGCGCTTCTGAAAGGCTGTCTACGTCAGCTCAGATCCCTGGGCTGCACAAGCGCGTGGGACGCTTGATCGGGCGCCCCCCCCCTTCGAGGGCGCAAACGCGTCGGCGAGGTCCTTGAGAGAGCCCGCCCAGGAGCACCCAGCAGCTGACAATCTCCACGAGACGCGTTCGCAACGATGGTATCCTCTCAGCGACAAGCCCGATGAGACCCGCGATCAAACTGGAGCCGACGCACTTCGGATCTACCCGCACTAGCCCTTCAACAAATAACCCATTCCCCACGGGATCGAGGCCGCGCGCGACTCTTTCTTCGTTCCGGCCCAGACGCAGCTGCACTCGGCAGAGCGAACGCACCTACTCACATTCCTGGGCCTGGATTTCCCCAGAAACGCGCCGCACAAAAGAAGTACGCCACCGCTTCCAACAATCCACTCCATCCGTCACTGTGCGATCCGCGCCGGGTCCTCCTCTAGAGCCCCCATGAGGCTGCATACTACCATCGCCCACCGCGCGGATCGATATGAGCCGCAACCCCAGCGGCAACGGCCACGGTGGTGCACTGCGCCTCTTGGGCGCACGTTTGAAAAGCCGCTCGATCTGCTCCATGTCAGTAATAGATTTGGCGAATGGCTGCTTCAATATATGTTCTGCCTGGTCGGTCGACCTTGGTGGCCTCCTCCATGCCTGCTGCACGTCGCTGCCTGAGACCACCGCTTCCCCCAGGCTGCGACAGATATGTGAGCCATTCGTCGCCCGTGGGGGGCCTGCCGCCCAATCTACTGTAGCCTTGTCTGCATTTGCCGTGCCTGCCGCCATCGAGTCGTACATATAGCCTCTTCACACCCGCCAAATCCCGACGCTTCCATGACTGCCAATGCTCTACCACAGTTTGTTCTCGCTTCCGCTTTGGCCCTGCACGATATAATGCTCTGCGCTGCATGGGCAGACTGGCTAGTTCCTCGCAGCCTTTGGCAAACTCGATATCAGAACAACTAACACCGAAATACATGCGTGTATCAGGCCGTTGTTTTAATAGTGCCATTCCCCGCTGGGTCAGACCAGGGCGTGTGGATCCTGAGAATTCTTCAACTCCCGAAGTGCGAGGAAATGGGTCAACTCGACTGAACACAAAGTTGGGGTTCAAAACAAGCAAGTCCGACATCATGCCACTCCTGTTGCTGCTGTTGCTCATCCATACGCATGTACGTATCCCTGTTGGGCCCACCCCTCATAGCTTTCGTCGGTTCGTCGTGGTCCCATCGGATGGGCTCCCGTGTTCGTCCATCAGGGGTGCGCTCACCAGGGCGTTCGTGTGCAATCGAAACGTGTTGCTCTTTCATTTTGACCACGACCGCACATTCTATCACTTGAAGATGCCTGCCCAATCAACGTATTGGGCTTGCACATGTAACGTGGTCGGACCAGTGGAATGGGAGGGTGGCATGATCAATCGCCGATGTGTCCCCTGTCGAGCCATACAACGTCGGACAGCACGTACGAATCGTCACCGGGGCAAAACCAAATTCACGCAATACCTCTCTGAAGCACCCCCCCGTCTTTCTACGATGATGTTCCTCCCTGATACCCAGGCTCAGAGAGTATTAACTTTAACCCATTCACCAGATATTTATCCCCCATGAGAAAAGGATGGGACCGGCTGGAAGGCCCTTCAGACATTCACGAACCCAGTCTTTGATTTGGAGAGGTCCAGGAGGCACGGCGATCTGTTTTCTGATGTTGTGCTGGGTCCAAGACCTTGGGGAGTAGAAGAGAGCACCCTACTGATATTGTGAAGAATCCTCCTGTCCTCCAGCCAGTGTGAACTGCCAGCCGCTCCCCCAGTCGTTGTACCCGATACCCTTCCCGATCATGATCTCGAAGTTGGGTGATTGGGAGGCCAACCGAATCGAACGCACTCAAGTCAGATATGAGGTTGCACAGTCGATCACCACAGGCATGAAGAGGAGTGTACACCATAGATGAGAGCATTGGAGATCCCATGGCGCTGACCGAGGGCCCCTGATGGGAGAAGGTCGAAGGCCATAGGATGTGGTTGCATGACCTAGTATGCTGCTCTGCCCTGCAAGCCGAGGCGGCAGCTGGAGGAGGAGGAGTAGGGGGAGGGGGGGGAGGACCTCCTCATCCTTCATTCTCCCCCGTCCTACCTATGGTAGTGGCGGTGGGAAACTGGCCCATCAACTATGGAAAGACCTGAAGAACAGCGAACCACTTCCGAACTCGAGCCGGACCCCACTCCCCTGACGCCGCCGGAAGTGCTGGAGGGGAGCGCTGCTTGAAATCGCCTAGCTCTTTGGGCACGCGAGCTCAGCAATGCACGGCCACCTCCTCGTCCTCCTTCCCTTCCTGCTCCGCCCTCCATGCCTCTCCCTCCTCCTCCTCCTCCTCCTTCTCCTCCTCATGGGTTCCACTTCCCTCCCTCTTCCCTGGGACAAGTCGCCCGGAGGCCAAAAACTCAACTCAGATTGCCGCGTGAGCGCCGCCGCCAACCCACACGAGCCATCGCTCGGACGTCCACTCGCCGTGCATGTTTGGGTTTCGTGCGTTCTTTGGCCACGCAACATTCTCGAGCGTCCGCGCCGAGGACAAAGACGCACACGTCCGAGCCACGCCAGGCAACCCACACGTCGACCGCTAGTAGGGAGCAGCCTCGCGAAACTTTGAAGGCCAAGAACTATGGGCAACGCCGACCTGCTCCTTCGCATCTTAAGCCATCGCCATACCGTGGTCTGTGCCTTACGCTCATATCGTCGTTTCCCCCTCCTCCTCCGTTTCCTCCTCCTCCTCCTCCACCTCCTTTTCCTCCTCCTCCTCCTTTTCCTCCTCCTTTTCCTCCTCCTCCTCCTCCCACTCCTCCTCCTCCTCCTCCTCCTCCTCCTCCTCCTCCTCCTCCTCCTCCTCCTCCTCCTCCTCTTCCCCCTCCACTTCTTACTCTTCCCCTCCTTTTCACTTCTTTCTCCCCCTGCTCCTCCCCGCCTGCTCCTCCTTCTCCTCCTGCCCCCTTTTTGTTCCTCCTCCTCCTCCTCGCTGCTCGCACGCGGCGCGGGGCTCCGCCTCGGGACCCCGCTGCCCCGCGGCGGGCGTCACAGCAGCGCCGAGTAGTTGATGAGGTTCGAGGACGAGAAGGCGCGCCTGCGCGGGAGAGCTCGCCGGGCTGAGGAGGGAAGGGGAGGAGGAGGAGGAGGAGGAGGAGGAGGAGGAGGAGGAGGAGGAGGAGGAGGAGGAGGCTGAGGAGGAGGAGGAGGCTGAGGAGGAGGAGGAGGAGGAGGAGGAGGGAAGGGGAGATCAACGAGACCTCCCACCCCGCCAGCAGGCTCCCAAGAAACATTCGATGTGCCCCAGGAAGCCCCCAATGAAGCCCAGAAGAGGCCCAAAAGAAGCCCCCAAGAGGCCCCCCAACGGCCCCAGGGAGCGGCCGGTGATGCGCCTCTGCCGTTCTCGATCTGGAGGACGGGGTCGGGCTGGACTGGGCTCGGGGACGCAGTCGGACGCGTTCGGGGTCTTCCCACGCGTTCGTCGGCGGGTCGGTCCGGGGTCTTCGGGCGCGTTCCCTGGTTCTCGGGAGTTCTCAGGCGCGGTAAGCGCGATTATCTTTGCGACCCTAGGGGTGACATGTTCAGTTTCGACCCACCAACCTGTTGCACTGCGACTTGGAGCGATGCACTTGACATCGTGAGCGTGCTTCCCACAGTTTCGAGTAACTATCTTCGGCCCGCACGCCTGACTCTCACAGTCGACACATACAGTTACACAGGTCAGCTTCCTTCCTTCCTTTTCCCTCCCCCTTTCTCAAACGATTGCTTCTTTCTGGGAGGGAGTCGGGGGAGGAGGAGGAGAAGGAGGAGGAGGAGGAGGAGGGTGAGGAGGGTGAGGAGGATGGAAGGAATAGGAGGAGGAGGAGGAGGAGGAGGAGGAGGAGGAGGAAGAGAGGGAGGACGGGAGGAAGAGGAGGAGGAACGGGGCGGGCATGTAAAGCTCTTATCCTTCGACGTCAAATTGCCATGCCTCTTGGGTCTCGCATTCCGTACCCCTACGAATCCAACTGCTCCTAACATGCTGAACCGTTGTTTGACATTTCTGGAACAAACGGGTCCTGTGGGAAACGGGCCAGCTTGTCATCCGAATGCTCTTTTTGACAGTGCCGAGGCCCGCAAGCGACCCAGGGAGGTTCAAAGCAGGAGTGTACGTAAAAACAACAACAACACCACCACCACCACCACCACCAACAACAACACCAACACCAACAGCAACAACAGCAACAACAAGACCATAACCAACAACAACAGCAACAACAACAACCACACAACCACACAACCAAACAACAACAGCAACAACGACATTAACGGCAATACC